TAATAATATTTTTTCTAAATTTCCCTTTAAAAAAATATGTATGCGGTATCATTAGATTCATTTCAATCACGGGAGTAATTAATATAGGATACGTTTTTTCTCAAAATTCCCACGGGAACATGTTAATTCTGCGTCAACGCAAAGCAACTCATGCGTTAGCAAGCAAAAAGATAGGGCGTGGCCTGGCATGCGGCGCGCGGCGCGGTGCGGAGGGGATATGCTCGAGTATACAGCCCGATTGCGGGCACACGCATGAGGGCACACGTCGTTGACGATAGTCTCTACATCTACAACATTTTCGTTAAATAAAAACAGCTAAAAAGTTATAAATAAAAAAATTATTATTAAAAAAACAAATACCCGACTGCACACTAAATAAAAAAAGAGTAAAACAAGCCCCACAATAATATTGATCAATCAAATGCTAAAAACTAATTATGTAATACCGTTTAAACAATACCTATATTAAAATACACTACAATATGTGTTCGTAATCGATAGTTAAATAAACAGAAACTTATTTTGAATACAAATTTACTGAATATAATTTATAAATGTTGATGGAAAGCATCGCAGGCGGGACCACCTTGACCGCCACCAACGAAAATTCTGCTAAATGGTGCACAACCGAAATGACTATAAATAAGCCTCTGTTGGTCCCCGCCTGCGATGCTTTCCATCAACATTTATAAATTATATTCAGTAAATTTGTATTCAAAAATAGTTTCTGTTTATTTAACTATCGATTACGAAACATATTGTAGTGTATTTTAATATAGGTATTGTTTAAACGGTATTACATAATTAGTTTTTAGCATTTGATTGATCAATATTATTGTGGGGCTTGTTTTACTCTTTTTTTATTTAGTGTGCAGTCGGGTATTTTTTAACAAAACGTTGCCCCATCTAGTATTTTCTTCAGTGTTGTGGGAGTGTTTACGGCAAGAAAATTTTGCTTGATCCTAATTATTCAGTGGCTTCTTTCTCGAAAGTTCTGCATCAGCATTCATATCAAAAGATCCTTTCTGCGTTGTCTTCAAAAATTCTAATAAAATCAAAAATATCGAAAGTAAGTTACAATCAAGACACTACCTACATACCTAAGAAAGACTATTTACTTAGTAATCTTATGTACTGAATAAGATTTCCCCGGCGATGTGCGGTGGAATTCATTTAATATATTAACCATACATACATTTACTTTCCAAGGACTTAGGTCTCCAAGGATATAAGTTCTAGTTCTATCGGAATCAATTAGGTAGCCTAAACTTATGTACTATGTATGTTAGTATTTTGTAGCACTTCTCTTTGTATGACTATGTACGTTTCGTAATAAGGTATTTTTAATAGTATGTTGTATTGTATAGGTTACCTGTGTTATGTTCTTGAGTATTTGGGATTGTTTTGTTGTTGTCACAAGTAGGTATAGGTAACTATTATTTTTAATGGATAAGCCGATAAACGAGCTGACGGATCACCTGATGGTAAGCAATCGGCGTCGCCCGGAACACCAGAGGTATTACAAGCGCGTTACCGGCCCTTTAGGGACAAGGAATTTGAGGATTGTTGGGGTTTAAGGGATTAGGGAGATTGTGGAGGGGGGAGGGTAATTGGGCCTCCTCACTCACACGACGAAACACAACGCAAGCGTTGTTTCACGTCTTCTGTTCGATCGTGGTATCACTTTGGTCAAACTGGCTCATACGTGCGGAAGCATGGCTCTCCCACACTTAATTAACGAGGTCTTTAGTTTAATCTAAGGGTTAGTTTAAATACTTATTTTGGTCGGTAGCAAACTATAGTCGGGAATAACCTACACCTGATAGAAAGTTTGATTTTATAGACCAGCGCCTTTAGCCAAACGCCACTTTAGCGCTTATCTACAGAAAGAGTAGAAATCAAAATGTATGGGGATGACACTGACATGTGTCATAATTTAAGTCAATTCCATATAATTTCGTTTTCTATTCTACATGTAGACAATCGCTAAATGGCATTTGGCTACAGTTGCAGGAACCTTCGCTTGTATTTTTAGATCCCCTATCTGCTAAAGCATCTTCAAAATCTGTTTAAGGTTTTAAAATGCAAACCAAAATTTACCGTTACATAACTTTCGTAATACATATACTAAATGAAATATTACGTATTTCGGCTTACTCAAGTAATTATTTGACGAGGAACTCGACTAGTTTCAAGCCATGCTAGAGCCTTCATGAGCAGCATTCCGCGACCCGCGACGCGGTGACTGTCGCGCTGCTACTGAATATGAGCCTGTGGCATGGCTTGAAACTAATCAAGTTCCTCGTCGAATAATTACAAGGGTTAACCGAAAAACATAATATTTAAGAATATACCGATAGGGATTAGAGACATGATTTAAAACTAGTAAACTTCATAACTAACATTTACCTGTATCCATACCATTCATCTTGAAACCTCGCACACTAGCGGGGACCAGGTAACTCTAAAGTCATAAATAACCTGTCATTCGTCACCCCTGGGAAATACCATCTTATAATAGACAGTTAGAAAACTTAAATATGTCATCCCATCACATTAAGTAACTGACGGAGTTAGTTTCTGAAACTTTCAGAACACTTTACTGAGATAGTTTGATGGACCTTTGTCAATGTTATCTTGAAGAAATTGGTATTTTCTTATATTTATGTTTGACTAGCTTTTACCCGCAGCTTCGCTCGCGTCACAAAAGTATAAAAAGTAGCCTATATGACATATACTAATACACACTGCGCCATCTATACCAATACTTTTGTTTTTCTTCGGGAATATCAATTTTTTCCGGGATAAAAAGTACCCTATTATTTAATCCAGACTTTCAACTTTACGTCTGCAAAAATTCAAAGCAATCGGTTTAGTAGTTACGGTGTTAAAGCGGAACAAACAAACAAACTCACTTTTCAATTTATAATATTAGATAGTAAAGATGTTTCTAAAATGGATTGTTTGATCTTATCGAGACGTTAATATTATGGTAGATATTTGATAAGGTATGTAATGGTACTTTTAGTTACCGATTTGACTACTTATTAATGTTTATTGTAGCTTAGATATCAGATCTTCTTACGAACTTAATCATCGCATCATTGACTGAAAAAAGACGAATAGATTCATACGTTGAATTTCATGGGACTTTAAATTAAAGTCTACGATGTTTTTTTTATGGCATAAGCCGGTAAACGGGCAGACGGATCACCTGATGGTAAGCAATCGGCGTCGCCCATGGACACCCGAAAAACCAGAGGCGTTATAAGTGCGTTACCGGCCTTTTGGGAATTAGGAATTTGAAGATTGTGAATGATTCGGGGATTGGGGAGACTGGGGAAGGGAGTAATTGGGCCTCCGGTAACCTCACTCACACGACGAAACACAACGAAAGCGTTGTTTCACGTCTGTTTTCTGTGAGGCCGTGGTATCACTCCGGCCGAGCCCTCCCATTTGTGCCGAAGCATGGCTCTCCTCATACGTTTAGCTATAGTCATTTTACTATGCCTACAAACTACAAAACAGATCTAAATGACATCCGATATTCATACTTTACACATCGATACTATTAGATACAAACACATTCCCAGCCATTAATTCAAAATTAATCCACTCATGCATGTCCTAACCCAGTCCTAGGAAGCTTCAGTACATCAAAGGATATAATTCAACAAGGATTTCCGTGAACACAGGGAAAGCTCTGCAGATGTGTCTCTCAATTAGTTTGCATAAGTGGCGACCTCTTGTGATCCTCAAAGAGCCGCAAATGAGTGAAATTGGAGTGAGATCTCGGATCTCGGGTGAGTCAATATGGCTGCTGACTTTATTTAATTAAAGATGTATTTTTGTTAAGGAAACGCTGGGGTTTTATTGTGCAAAAGGTTTTGATGATTGATGTACAAGTCATTCAGTAGTATGCTATCGAACTAGTATTATCTTATACTATTATATAAAGCGGAAGATTTTGTTTTTTTGTTTGTTTGTTTGAACGCGCTTATCTCCGTAACTACAAGTCTGATTTGAATAATTATTTTTGTGTTGGATAGTGCATTTATCGAGGATGGCTATAGGCTATTAAACATCACGCTACGACCAACAGGAGCTGAGCAGAGCGCGTGAAACGTGGAAGTAGCTAGTTTAAAATAAATGCGAAAGTGTGTATGTTAGTTTGTTTTGTTTGCTACCCCTTCCCGTCATAACGACTGAAGCGATCGAGATGAAATTTGGGACAGGCGTGGATTATGGTCTTGAATACCACATAGGCTACTTTTATCCCAAGGGACCCCGGGCGAAACCGCTGGCAGAAGCTAGTGTACTATAAGTATTCGAACAGTTCCCAATCAAATAGTTCGTCCAATCAATATTCATGGTTAAACTAGAGACCTAGTGCAGCTAAGCATTCTGTAAGATGTCGATTCCGATGTCTCGAAGCGAGGTCGATCGATGGTCCGCCATGTTATTGGTTGTGAGATTAACTCCGTGGTGTCCCGGAGGTTTTAGATATCCGCTTCTCATGAATGAGGAAGGAGTCTCATGCAAGAAGAGAAGAACGGCAAGTACCAATGTGACTTTTCCGAGTTATATATACTTTCTAAGATTATTTAGACATCACTGACAAACGGTGAAGGAAAACATCGTGAGGAAACCTGGACTTATAATTTCTAATTATAAGTTTGAAATCGCCAACCCGCATTGAGCAAGAGTGGTGAATCTTAAACCTTCTCCATGTGAGAAGAGGCTGTTGATGATGATGATAAATGACGGGCGAGAATGCGATTGAGCTTACTTTGAGATTTCGAATTGACATCTTGCAGAATAGCGTAACAGTTGCGATATTTAGCTAAAAGCCAGTTGTCCGTTCATATTCTTGATTGTTGAACAGAAAATTTATTTAAATTGGGCTTCATTTTCAAACAAAGCATGGAAAACTAATATTGTAACAAGGAGGAGAAAATTTAGATTGCTCTCTTAATAAAGAGTTGAAGAAGATTACTTACCTTGCCCTCGCTCTTCCAGTATATGAAGAAGCCATACTCGTCGACCTTGAACAAGCAGTTCTGTTCGAACTCTGTGTTGTCCTTCTCTTCTGTCCACCGATCGAAGGTCGCGCCCTGCAGAAGAATATAAAATAAATTTTTAGATGGGCCAAGATGGAAATAAAAGTGGACTGTATTTCAAAGGTTTTGTTTTTATTTTTTTTAAGCGGGGAAAATCATCGAATGACTGCTCCCGCCTGGGTGAGGCGGAAGGGAGTGTCAGACTCTTACTGACTAAAAACCACCCCGTTCCTTCTCCTGCACGTCGAGCCGGAGCCCCGGTTACTCGTTAGGTTCTCCGCGACTCCGAATCGGCATCGGCCTTATTGGGCCCCATCTGTGGTGGTCTCTTTGAGGGTTCGGGAAAGGTATATATTAGGTGTTGTACAATGGTCTAAAGTTATAATAAAGTCATGCGATCGTGGTCGCGTTGTTGTAACGAGTGTTGAGAGCGCGCGGCTCGTCGCTGAGCCGTCGTGTTACCAAGCCGCCGCTCCCCTTGATGAAGCATGTGTGCATCGGACGTGTTAACGTGTGCGTTAACATTTTCAATCTCTTATTTTTGGAAGGTATTTACAAGTGTTATTTCCAACCCATCAAGCACCAAGATTTGACTTATAGAGGTAGAATTTTGATAGATTTTTTTATTTAGTTTATCAAAATTTTGTTCAATAAAAATGGTTCATGTTTAATAGTCGATGTTGCCGTTGACTGAACAAACATTTGGCTTGGCTATCTAAGCTAAAAGACTAAGTATAAGGTAAGAGCATTGACTAAAAATTGCGGGTTACTCTTGTGAATATAGGTACTGAGAAAAGCTGTATTAATTTAGGTAAGAGTATTTTAAAAAATTGTGTAGTTTTACAATTTTATTTTAAACTTGAAAACGAAAGTAAAATGATACCAAGTAACAAAACCTTCAAACGAAATACAATTCATAACAATGCCGTTTGAATTTACGAGACGTTCCATTCCGCACGGTTCTAAATCTCAGTAAAAGCCAATTAAATCACCGGAACAGATAATAAGTCAATAAAATTCGCGCCGTTTATTGGTCGAGCCATTTTGTGGACTCAATAACGCTACTGTCATTGGTCATTTGACGCTTGCAGCTTGAGACAGTTGGTTAAAATTGAGTTGTTATTATGTCATAAAAGTACGTTAATACTGATCGTTTAGAACTTTTGCAATAATTGTTAAGTTTATTCCGTCCGTCTTATTCAAAAAGTTTTGGTCAAAGTATAGTATAAGTAGAAATGTGATATGATAGATTACTTACTAATTCCTTATTTACATAACATCACCCCTTTTCTCCCCGAAGGAGTAGGTAGAGGTGCACGTTACGGCACTTAATGCCACTGTACATTGTAACACCCACTTTTCACTATTTATATTATGAGTTCCATGTAATAGGGGGTGAGCCTATTGCCATATACCGGACACAATTCTAGACTCCGTCCTACTACTGAGATTTTTTTTAAAACCCAGTAGTACTTTGCCCGACCCTTACCCGACTTGGCATAACATATCAAACAATTTAAATGGAATAATTAAGAACAGTTATTATAATACCCAGTTGCAGTTCATACACGAATCTATGTTCAAATAAACTAGAATCGACATTAAACTTTTGATCTGTGCTGTGGTACGTGGCGTTAGAGGTGAGGAGATTACTGGGGCGGCCGCCTCACCGACTTACGGCGCAGAGTTGAATAGGCACAATGTTAAGGTTGCCAGTGAGAGCGAGTAGCGTATTTGCCAATTTTTGGAGCGATATTTTGCTGAAAATTAACATGAATTTGACACGGCCCGTAATTGTCCAATGCAAATATTGTTTTTATTTTTTTTAATTAGGGAAATTCATCGAATGACTGCTCCCACCTGGGTGAGGCGGGAGGGAGTGTCAGACTCTTACTGACTAAAAACCACTCCTTTCCTTCTCCTGCACGTCGAGCCGGAGCCCGACCCAATGCAACTATTTTTTTTTTTTTTTAAGGGGGGAAAATCATCGAATGACTGCCCCCGCCTGGGTGAGGCGGGAGGGAGTGTCAGACTCTTACTGACTAAAAACCACCCCGTTCCTTCTCCTGCACGTCGAGCCGGAGCCCCGGTTACCCGTTAGGTTCTCCGCGACTCCGAATCGGCATCGGCCCTATTGGGCCCCATCTGTGGTGGTCTGATGGCTCTTTGAGGCGCGCGCGGAACGCGACGCGCCGTACGCTCGGGTCTGTTTCTGGTCGGACGGGGAGCCACCCATGCTCGCCGTCCGCAGGCCCGCGCTTACGGTGGCCGGAGATCGTCCCGCGATCCCCGACGCCCGGTGTGTCCTTCGCGATGGCTGGGTTGCGAGGAGGCAGCGCTTCGCTGCCTCACGCGTCCCGCCTCCTCCTTAGCTAGCATGACTGCTTCGCAAAAGGAGGAGACGGCATCCCAATCCCCCTCGCTCCGCATCATGGCCTGCACTAGGCCCGGACGCGAGAGGTCGCCATCGCCGATCACTTCCCTGAGGACACGGCGGTGCTCAGCCCACGAAGGGCATTCTCCCACCGTGTGTTCCACCGTGTCCTCAGGGCGGTCCTCGCAGTGATGACACCCGGGCGTTTCCTCCCGCCCCATCAGACACAGGTACCTCCCGAAACTGCCATGTCCGGTGAGGACCTGCGTCAGGCGGTAGGTGAGGACGCCGTAGCGTCTCTCAAGCCACTCCTCAAAGAGGGGACTTACCGCTGCAATGGCAGCGAGCCCAGCCCTCGGTTGCGACAGTCGTTGCTGCCATTCCGCCATGAGATCGCGCCGGAGCTCATCCCGCCACGCACTTATCTGGCGCGGCAGCGGAGTTTCGCCCCGGCGACGTGCCTCCGCGCGCATGCTGTGCACGCGCGCGAGCACCTTCGCCTCCAGATCCCACGGCGGTAATCCGGCAAGGAGGTTCGCCGACTCCCCAGAGATCGTGCGGTATCCGCGGATCATTCGGATCGCCATGACCCTCTGTGCCATGAGCAGCGTCCGAGCGGGACGCCGCAACAGGTTAGGCGCCCAAACAGGGGCGCCGTAGAGGGCCATGGACCGCACGACCCCGGCGTATAACCTCCGGCAGGAGGCGTTTGGCCCCCCGAGGTTGGGGAGGATGCGTTTAAACGCAGCCCCCGTCCTCTCCAACTTTGGAGCCAAACGTCGGAAGTGTTCTATGAAGTTCCACCGACTGTCGAGGACGAGTCCTAGGTACTTCATCGTCGTCTCGACGCCGATGGTAACTCCTCCCGCCGTTATTTGGGACCCACCCGGAGGTGGCGCGTTCCCGCGGCCATGAAAACACATGGCCTCGGACTTGTGGAGCGCCACCTCGAGTCCCAACTGCCGGATTCTCTCAACGACTGTCGCAACCGCTGTCGCCATTAAGTCGGCCGCCGCCTGGTGTGACCTCCCGTGCGCCAGCACCAGCGTATCGTCGGCGTAGCATATAGTGCTAACGCCGTTCGGGAGGTCGGTGCGCAGCACCCAGTCATAGCCGATGTTCCACAGGAGCGGCCCCAGAACCGAACCCTGTGGAACACCGCGTGACATCTCTCGCCGGTTCCACTCGCCCCGGTGACCGGGGTAGCTGACGGACCTGTCCGTCAGGTAAGCCTCGATTACACGACGGAGGTAGGTAGGCACCCGATGATATCGGAGTGCCTCCAAGATGCAGCTCCAGGGCAGGGAGTTGAAGGCGTTGGCGATGTCCAGAGACACCGCCACTACGACCTTACCCCTGGACACTGCAGTCCCCGTCGTGAGGTCTCTAACGCGCATGATGGCGTCCACCGTGGAGCGCCCTCTGCGGAAGCCGAACTGGCCGTCCGACAAGTCCGGCCCAATGTCCGTCAGGTGCGCGACGAGGCGGTTCGAAATGATTCTTTCGAAGACTTTCCCCACCTCGTCGAGCAACACTATGGGCCGGTACGCGGACGGAGAGTCCGCAGGGCGCCCCGTCTTCCGCACGAGGACCAGTTTTCCCGCTTTCCAGAGAAGCGGGAACTGGCCTCTCTCCAGACATGCGCTGTAGAGACCAATCAATCGAGGCCCGAGAGCCTCTGAGGCCAGGACCCATGCCTTGCCATGCAGGCCGTCGGGTCCCGGGGCGGTGTTCTTGGCGCCCATCCGGCGCACCGCCGCTCTCAATTCTGCCTCGGTCACCTCTGGGACGATGTCGTCGTCGTCGTCGCTGTAGCCCGCGTCGGGCACCGCAGGGGGCGGAGTCATATACGGAGGAGTGAACCCCCTCCACAGTCGAGGGAACAGGGTGCCAACCACCTCCTCCAAGACTTCTTGCCGGAGACTCTGGGTGAGCGGGGGAGCCCAGGCGCGGAGCTTTCGCGTACCATCCGGTACGGGCGTCCCCACGGATCTCTGTCCAGAGTCCCCAGCATCTCTCGGCGGGCCTCCTCCTTGGCCCGCAATATCTCCACCTTGAGGAGGGCCTTGGCCGCCCTACCCAATGCAACTATAGGCCTCCTTTACATAAGGGTTTCCCATCATCTGGGTAAGCGGTATGCAGATCGCAACGTCGATGGCATTGTTCAATTCTCTATGATGCTAGCTTCTTTGATGTAAATACTCGTATTACCAATTGAATGTGAAACATCTTTATATAACAGTTTTAATTAATAACATAAGTCAAAGCATTTTTAGGGATTCACACACAATCTGCCTTTAAAACACGTCTAAGGAAGGTCCCAAGACTAAGGAAGGGACCGACACAACGCTCGCTATGACCGTTGAAAATCCAGCAATTGAATTTTTCAAAAAATGACGTTAACTTAATTACTGGGTTGGAGTCGCGCTGGAGCGCTGGTTAAGTGTAACGTTTACTCTTAAAATCAACGCTTCTATATCCTTTCCCCGCTACCACTAGCACCGCACCTCATTCAGTAAGCATGTGCGATCGAGTGATTTACGGCGCGATCGGCACTGACTCGGAATGTCTTCACGTAACGTTCCCGACGTAAAGTACAAACAACAGATTGCCTCACAAATACCTTCGAATTATATTATCTGTGATCTTTTGTACGGAATGATGGATTTCTTGTTATCTCACCTGAACTGCCTCGTTGGGTTTGAAGTTCGATTTTACGCTTGTATTGGTAGCGTTAGAAGGGAATATCAAAATTGATCTTGATTGAATACTTGATGAGTTCGTATTTTCCTTGATAGGGAAGAATCACGCTTAAAGATCATTTTCTGGTTCTATGATAATACACAGAGGTTATGCTAACATAAAGGGTAGTAGGTATGTGTGCGTTTATACCCAGATGTTAACGGCAAAATGCAAACAGATATAACAATGACAGTACCATTTGAAAGAGAAACATTTTTTTTTCATTGGGGTATGACGAATACCTGACTTCCCTTGAGAACCGTCGAGGGATGCTATCAAGTTCATTCTGATTTGTTGGAAAAATAATCAGTTTTTTTTAAAGGTACAAGCCCGCCTCAACCTCCCAAAACTGCTGCAACTCCTGTAGGCCAGGATCTACAGTAGATACACCTATGAAAACACCGGAATACTAAAGCCCGGCGCGTCCCAGGGACATGTGTAACTGTCTTGGTTCCCGCAACGAAGTGAATCAGAAGATATTATAAGAGGAGAAGAAGAAAAAACTATGGTTTCCACTTCCCTCGGTGAATTATTGCAGGAGACAGAATGAATTAAGCCTAAAGGCACAAAGAAGAGACTGTACAACTGTAAAATAATAATCAGTTGGTAAAAGTAATTAACATACGAATTCCAACATCACCCATCTGAATACAAAATCTGTAGATTGTGATCGATTTTTGATAGAATCTTCTCACAACAAATGCTTAAAATCGATTCATATTCACAGATTTCGGATTGCGATAGCAGGTTACTAATTTCTGTCGTTAATCGATATTTACCTGAAGAAGGAGATCAGGGACGGGGATCTGCCAGTTAAACTCGAATTTCTTGGTCATGGTGCTCGCTTGTCAACACCTCTCCAACACTCCACTCAAAGGTTCATGCAGACATTCTAGGCACGCTGTGGACAAAGAAATTTAATACTTAGTACCCTTGTAATTAATTTTAAATTGCGTTAATTATTACCTACGTTTATAAGTGATCTTAATTTGTAGAAAGAATACGTCTTAAACCTAGCTATATAAATTTGTGGTTGTAATGTCGAAACCTAATATATTTAAGGGTGTGCCTGTTATCTTTGAAGGTGTAAGAAAATGGGCAGATTACGCAATATAATAGCTATTTTTACCAGTTCTGTTGTAACAGCATGTAACTACGAACATTTTCGAAAAATCCTCAACATTTGACTCATTATCGGTAAACGCACTCATAACCATTCAACTCGATGAACAAGCCAGCCTCTTTTATATTCAAAATGAATAGTGAACCTTCACTAAATGATAAAACTTCAACAATTCACAAGGACACCTTTCAACAAACAATTTCCTGACCAAACCACAATTTTGATCAGATCCTTATCAGCATTTCGGAAGGTAGACATGTCAATCAGATCCTTTATAGATGGAGTAATTACACCCGTGTCAACACTGACATCCAATTAATGTGGCAACTATACTGTTCCGGTACTAGTTTTGTAGTTTCAGTATCAAACTTGGTACTGAAGCTCATAGCTGAAGATCGAGTTGAATGGGAAGGTTTGGGTGGATCTATGATGGATTGTGAGTTGAAAGATGGTAATATTTTAGGGAATAAGTAAGGGTAGGAAGTAGAAGATATTGTTTTGTTATTAGTGGATTGTCTTTCATATGAGGTGATGATGTCATTAATTGGTTCGAGATTTGACTTTTACTTCACTTGCATTCGATTAATTTAAAATACAAACATCCCAGAGCAGACGACCCGCCGAGATACGATTAGTAGATTTATACAGGTTAGTATTATAAATTGCATTTTGGTTCCCTTCAGTTCCTTTCATTTTAGGACTTAGAAGTACGTCAAAGTTTTTAGATTTTTATAACGATTACGCAGTCTGGTTTTGTGACAGAAAAAGCGAATGTCAGTTATCTTAAAAGTGCTAAAACAAAGGTCTGTAATTAAGATTGCGAAAACTATTTAACCTACTCGAGAGATAGCGTGATTACCATTAAGCAGAATTTCTGTGGCTCTAATTTAGAAAAGACGTTTTTGAATAGGTTCTGGAAGGAAAAAATCTGGCCAATTTCATCGTCTTGACCTACTTTAGTACACATTTTGTTTTCTTCACTTTTCTGATATCAATAATTCAAAAGTAAAAAGATGAACAGTGACCATCATCACCACATTTCCGTCCTTCGTCATCATCATCATCAACAGCCATTATATGCCCACTGCTGAGCAAAGCCTCTTCTCACACGGAGAAGGTTTGAGCATTAATCACCACGCTTGCTCAATGCGGGTTGGCGATTTCAAAGTTATAATTAGAAATTATAAGTTTGTCAATGGTTTCTATCACAGAACATTATAAAGAAGATATGTTCTGTGGTTTCTAATTAATGTTGTTTTTTCTGATTCTTCTGTTTTAAATGTTAACTCAACTTTACTTCCACTGTCACACTTTTATCGTGTTTTTATGTTAATTTATGCTGCATCGAATCTGGTGCTGAATAAATGTTTTTTTATTTCTTTCTTTCAAAATAAGTTGAAATGAATGAGTACAGAATCACAGAATTACAGTGTAAACTATTAAGCTTACATTGTAAGGAACAAGCAATTAGTTATACCAACGCTAGGTAATTTAGTTATTCAGTTGTATTGTTTCTACTGTAGAACAAATGTAATTAGCCATGAATGATGTCATGCAACACGAGTGGGGAAACAAATCGTGCACAAAGAAAACCTACTTACCGTAATATTGTACACATATTGAAGTGTAGATAAAAGTAAAGTGTTGAAGACTGATTGAGCATTGGCCTTAAATTGACTGATGATACAGATCAGTTTTGAATCTCATCGGAATTTGGGATCCAAAACTTGCAGTTATTTAAAGCGTATTTTTTTTAAGGGTTGAAAATCATCGAATGACTGCTCCCGCCTGGGTGAGGCGGGAGGGAGTGTCAGACTCTTACTGACTAAAAATCACCCCGTTCATTCTCCTGCGCTTCGAGCCGGAGCCTCGGTAACCCGTTAGGTTCTCCGCGACAAAACGTATAGGATAGGGTTCAGTTTAAGAAATATCCCGTGAAGTTTACAAAACTAATAGAGCTTTTCTCAGTATATTTACGTGAAAAAACCGTTCATCATCATCAACAGCCTATAAATGCCCACTGCTGAGCAAAACCTCTTCTCACACGGAAATGGTGCATGCTCAAGCATGAATCACCACGCTTGCTCAATGCGGATTGACGATTTCAAACTCATAATTAGATATTGTAAGCCAAGGTTTCATCACGATGTTTTCCTTCACTGTCTGTCAGTGGTGTCAAAATAATCTTAGAAAGTACATATAACTCGGAAAAAGTCACATTGGTATTTGTCATTGGTAGGTTTCGATACCGCACTCTCATAAACCGTTAATGTTAGTTAATTCAGTATGTCTCACGATTGTTATTATAAAAACTTCAATGATGTTATTTGCTGGCGTACTTGGAAAGTTTCTTCCTCGATGTTTATGTATGTGTAGATACAGTATCGGAATATCGGGACGCGAAAGTTTAATTAGAGGTAGAATTATGAAACTGCATTAATGTTTGATCCAATATCATCGAGTTTCATCAAAAGGGAGACTATGATGATATTTTTTAGAATGAAGTTATATTATCAAGATTCCTTTTTATTTTAATTAGAATTTTCATGAGAATTGTTATGCAAAAACTACAAAAAAACAATCAACCGAACATAGTACCTCCTCTTTTTTGAAGTCGGTAAAAACTACTTAGGGTTTTCTATGTTAATACAAAAAAATGGAAAATAGGGCTATTCTTATATTCATACTTAATATTTTTATGGGATGAGTCGGTAAACTATTAGACGGATCCCCTGATGATAAGCAATGGGCGTCGCCCGTGGACACCAGGACCGGCCGTACCGGCCTTAAGGGGATTTGGAGTTTAAGGATTGTTGGGGATCCAGGGATTGGGGAGGGAAGGGGGGACAATTGGGGTTCCGGTAACTTCACGCACAAAACGAAAAAATACGCGAGCGTTGTTTCACGTCGGTTTTCTGTGAGGCCGTGGTGTCACTCTGGTCGAACCGGCAAAAAGATTAATTAATAAAATTCAATTGGCGCAGCCTATTACCGTCGCCAGCAAGTCATTTGTGACTGAAACATCTCTCCATTGCTTCGTTGCCTCTTACGTACATGTGAAGTACAGAGGTGTCGACAAATGTTCTTTGCGATCTCCATAAAGTGAATGGCACACGGTTACGGCTATACAATATAGCCCTTACTAATAAAGTCCGATTATGTCTCTCAATCGTGTCACCGGACTATTTAGGCCATCGTCATCGCGTGTCAGTGGCTACTCATGATTGTTGTCAGTCGTCAGTATTTCTTGTCAGTCTCAATTACTAAGATTGACCAGTATATTCAGTATCTTATCCTGAGTGTATTGAGGATAGGAATCTGTCTAAATAAAATACCTTTTGGAGTTTTTGGTGATATAATATTAAGATGTTCAAAAGGGAGAAATGTGGAGAGGATGAATCTTAGGGTGGTTTGGTTGAGTTCAATTTTTTTTTCATTTATTTGTTTAATTAATCTGTCAAACACCAAGCGGTCACCGGTGACCGCGACCTATTGTTCTTTAATTGTGTCTATAAATACGGTACTCGACGAGTTAATTTCTTACACGTGTAAGTTTTCGATAAAAGAAAGGTGAAAGAGACCAATGTAAAATGTGAAGTAAAGTGGCGAAGAAAAATAAAACGAAAAGTCAACAAAATAAGGTATTTTACAACTAGGGTTAATTTGAATGAAAAATATCACCGGTTTTCAGAAAGAGTACCTAAATAAGAAAGAGGGTGATTTCCCTGAAATATTTAATTACACAAAACATTCCAATTTACCCTTTTTACTTTAAAATTTACATTTATCAACAAAGCAACTGTTTTCAAAAAGCCATAGAGAATGAAAAGAAAATTGAGAACTTTCTTAAAACTCTATGGTTTCCTAACCGTTGCGAGTTGTTTACGCGCGCCGTTCGGAAATCGAATCGAATATTATAATACTACCCACGTTCTGGAGAAGTCGTTCAGTAACGTGCCGGAGTTTTCAAATGATTTGTTCAAAAAACTTTTACGAGATTAAAAATTGAGAACGTTTAAGTACTTTCCCAACTTCGGGAGGGTTTAAATGAAATTTCCGCGAATATTTTTATGATGAAAACGGGTTGATTTTGGCGAGAGGAAAGTTGGGGTTTTGCTAAACAGTTTTCCTCTCGTGAGGATTCATTTTTTGCGTCTTTGTTTTAGTTAATTGCTTTCACTTTTCTTGACTAGCTTGTCAGGTTGCTAGCTGCGAAGCTAGCAAGCTTGGGGTATGGGGTTCGTTTCTAATCAGGCAGACAGTAGGTGGGGTAGGGCTGTTTTAAACTACCCCACGTTTTTAATTTAGTCTACATGTATTTGTATTGTAACTTTCGTGAGACATACTAAACAAATTATTATGTTTTCGGCTTACTCACGTAATAATTTGACGCAGCGCGAAAGTCGCCGCGTCGCGGGTTTCGAAATGCTGTTGATGAATATGAGCCTCTAGCATGGCTTGAAACTAGTCGAGTTTAGCAATTTAGTCTATTTGTATGTATGTGTATTCATTATTAACTAATCATGATGTTTCGGGTCCGTCTTATTTGTCATTGAGACTCGAGTTGTTTAGTATAGTTTTTAAAAGAATTTTGAATTGGATTGGAATATTAAATTAGTGTTATGACATGGCATACAAAGATAACTTTGTGTTGTAAAGGATGACGTATCTTCGGTATGTTTTCATCATCATCAACAGCCTATAAATGCCCAC